TTATCAGCTTGATAAAAAATCTTTGAAATTGGTTGTAATTCGTTTATTAAAGGTTTTTCTTAGTGAATATATAGTTTAATAAAGGTTTGTTGATTATCTGGAAAAAAGAGACAATTATTTTAAATGTTCTCTTAGGGGTTCACTTAATTTTACACAGCACTGTATATATATATATATATATATATAGTGTGTATGTGGCTGAGGAGTTAGAATGTTTTTTTAGACTCAGGTTCAGATCCTAGCATATTAAATTTGTCTTGATAATATTGGTCTTTTGAAGTATTTATAGTAAGAAACTTTTTGAATGAAATTATGTAGACAGAACCGTTTGGAAGCCATCCATGGTTGTGTTAGCACATTGTCACAAATCATTGTGGCCAATCAAAAAATTCATTATGGCAGATTATGTAACAGAAACTTTATCTAAGGTCCATTATATAAACCACAGCTTGTCTCTGCGTGTTGAACAGGAATCTGGGCATATGTAACAGAGATACACTAGCCAACCATATTATATATATATCAAACAGACAATTATTCTTAACTACAAATACAAGAAAAAAACTTAAACAAATTTAAGCCAGCACAAAACAAATTTAACTCCACTCACATAAACACACACCATACACACATAATGTCCCGAACACACTAATCAGACACACACACACACACCCATACAAATATGTACACACATACTGGCAAAAAAAGAAACACACTAGACAGACCACATGCATTCACACACAAATGTGTGTGTGTGTGTGTGTATATATATATATATATATATATATATATATATATATATATATATATATACACACACACACACATACACCATTTCCTTGTAATAAAACAATATATATGTATGGAGAAGAAATATGTATACATATACTAGCAAACACACACACATAATACATAAAAATGAAGATGGGTTTAAAATGATACAGGGGTCCTAAAAAGATGAGAACAAAGACCTCCCTTCTTCCCCCTTTCTCTGACCAATCCTAATCGTTTTATTACCCCTTAAGTAGAGGAACATTTTCTCCACTAGTCCAAGAAGAATTTGGATTACTACCACACACAAAATGGTTAAACATAAGAAAACAAAAAAATTAATTTCTTTAAATAATATGTGGAAATAACAATTCTTCATCTGATGAAGGTAACCAAACCTGAAGCACGTGGAGCAAAAATGTATAATATATATTTTTTAAAAATCCACACTATAACCAAAAACGTTTGCGGCCTCTCTTTTCTCTTTAATATTATGACCTTGAATAAATTCTCGCCGTTTTCCAACAGATGACATTTCCAGCATTGTGTGCATATAGTTTCAGATGGTAATGCATCTATAAGGAAGTACTGTAAACAAGTTTGAATTTCAGTGCACGTAATTACACCAAAGTGTAATCAACTTTGTTTTTCATAGTCTTAAACATGTCGTATTTTGTGACAAAGAAAGTGTCTTTGCAGGGAATTTTACTGCACTACATTATTCAAAAGAAATCTGCAGCTGAAGCACACAGAATTCTTGTTAAGACCTATGGTGACCATGCTCTGTCAGAAACAGCATGCAGAGATTGGTTTAGATGCTTCAAAAATAATGATTTTGATGTTGAAGACAAAGAATTGGAGGCATTACTTCATGAAGACTCATGTCTGGCACAAGCTGAACTTGTAGAATCATTAGAAGTTTCAAAACATTTGGAAGCATTAGGAATGATTCAAAAGTTAGGACATTGCGTGCCGTATGAGTTGAAGCCGAGAGATGTTGAACAGTGTTTTACTACATGTGAACAGCTGCTTCAACGGCAGAAAATGAAAGTTTTTTTTGCATCACAACATGACTGGTGATGAAAAGTGGATACACTACAATAAGTGTAGAAGATCGTAGGTAATCCTGGCCATGCATCAACATTGGGAGCAGATCAGAAGCTTTAAACCATGGTTCAAAGCTTCTGATCTGCATTTGGTGGGATCAGCTGGGTGTAGTTTATTATCAGCTGCTCAAACTGACTGAAACCATCACAGGAAATTGCTATCAAATACAACTGATGTGTTTGAGCTGAGCGTTGAAGAAAAAACAGCTGCTATACTATAGCAATGACATGATAAAGTGATGTTTCAACCTGACAACGCTAAGCCACATGTTGCAACGCCTACTTGGAAACGCTTAAATGGGAAGTCCTACCTACCTGCTGTATTCACCAGATATTGCCCTGTCTGATTATCACTTGTTCCGATCGATGGCAGCAGCACTTTCATTCTTATCAAAATGCCAAAAATGGGTTGATTTGTGGTTAGCATCAAAAGATATGTCGTTTTTCCAATGTGGAATTCAAATGCTGCCAGGAAGATGGGAAAAGTAGTGGCTATCAGTGGACAGTTCTTTCTGTGACGTGTTTCTAATTTTTGTAAATAAAACATTACTTTTCATGAAAAACCAGCAAGAACTTATTCAAGGTCCATACATATATATATATAAGAAAAATACAGAAAAAAAAACAAAAATCTTAATATGCAATTATGCTGTATTAATGTTAATATAAAGTCGACGTTGGACGTTTCGGTCTATTTAAGACCATCTTCATGGACATTTTCATTTAAACATAATTAACATTAGAACATATAAAAATTTAACACAAAAGACGATGGACATAAGAGCACAACTAATCCAAACAGATAACTGAAATTTTTATATAAGATCAGCATTCCGTTTAAATATGATCATGTCGTCATCACGTGGGCGATGTTGTGAAAACGTATTCGAAGATGATTTCCAAATATTAAAATATTAAAAAAGTCGATTGAACTATTTTATATAAACAGTTCAAGAAATCCTTTCCGTTGATATAGGAATACGTAGAGATCAATAGGTTCTTATATCTTCATACAAGCTTGAAGTCCTTCATGTTACAAAGCAAATCAAAAATGATTTAAAAAACGATGGAACAGTTCTAAAAAACAGTTCGATAATAAATCCTTTCCTTACTTGATCAATAGATTCTTATATATATTCTCGTCCATATATTTGCTTACATACTGTCTACTAGAAATACAAACCTGAATTTACTTTATAACATGGAAGACTTCAAGCTTGGACAACGTCCGACGTCGACTTTATATTAACATTAATACAGCATAATTGCATATTAAGATTTTTGTTTGTTTTTTCTGTATTTTTCTTCATACTGTCGGATCTATATCCATATATTTGCTTATATATATATATATATATATATATATATTATGAAATGGACAAAGTCCGACAATTATTTTAAGACATTTTTATGTTTAACATTCTTTTCATAAATACAAATATTTAAGTAAATGTTTATAATAAACAGTATTAAATAACATTTACCGGCCTAAATGTCCGAGAAATTTTCATAGAAAATATTCATCCTCTGACAGGATTCGAACCTGTATCCTATACGGAACTGTCATATAGCCTGACGTGTTTTTACCGATTTCACCACAGATGATCGATTGGTTAGCAAAGTCGAATTTACTGCTTTTAGACTTCAATCATCCATGAATCTCTCACGTACATTCAAATCTGTTCATGGCGTATCAAATGTAAACAAATGATGTCACACATTATGAAATGGACAAAGTCCGACAATTATTTTAAGACATTTTTATGTTTAACATTTTTTATAGATACAAATATTTAAGTAAATGCTCTGTTTATCATAAACAGTATTAAATTTCTCGGACATTCAGGCCAGTAAATGTTGTTTAATACTGTTTATGATAAACAGAGCATTTACTTAAATATTTGTATCTATAAAAAGAATGTTAAACATAAAAATGTCTTTATATATATATATATATATATATATATATATATATATATATATATATAATGTGTGTGTATAACTGACCTTTTATATTTCTCTGAAATGTGGACCACTTATCGAAGGTACATTAAGGTGTTAGATTGTTTTCACCAGCATTGCCTGAGACAAATCTTGGACATCAATTGGCAGTCTTGAACACTGCATACAAAATTCTTTCAGTGTGCAAACATAGCATAGAGAAACTGCTTCTCCATAATCAAATATGCTGGACAGGTCACCTGACTTGTATGGAGGATAACAGATTGCCCAGAAGACGTTTTTTATGGTGAGTCATTACAAGATAATTGGCCTTGCTCATAAGCCCAAAAAACATTTCAAGGATGTACTTAAATGTAACCGAAAGACTCTTGGCATTAATGTTGAAGACTGGGAATGTGTTGCTGGATATGGATCTGGCTGGAGAAGGTTGATTTGGGAATGCTGCAACAATTTTGAGCCAAAGAGAATTGAGTATTCCAAGAAGGTGCACCATTAGGAAGGGAGAAGTAGAATCCATCCCAGAGCTATTAGTACACCTACACACTTTCAGTATTTGAGGAAAAGTCACCCTCTCAGTGGTTTGTTTAGCCAGTCATGTGAGATCATGCCAGAGAGGTCAGGTGCAAACTCTTGTGAATGCAACCCTACCAGAAAGTCCTGTAGGTTACTTGTGCAAGTTTTGTGACGTGGTTTGTAAGTCTGCTGCAGGATTCAAATATCATATGTACACAGGGGCAGACAAATTTCCAATATGGGTAACATTGACAAACTTTATGTCTGTCATGTGTGTAAGAGAGTTTGTAAAAGCGAAGCTGGCCTTAAGAATCTCTTACAGGCCCAGAGCAGAACATTAGTGCAAGTATAAATAATGGAAATAATAAAATCCTGAATGAAAAACACACAAAAAAAGCTACCAAGTGAAGAGATGATCTACTTCTGTAAAGAAGTGACAATAATTGTATATTTGATGTGGGAGTTGAGTTTGAATTCTTGGGAAAGGTATGAATCCAGCTCTTCTCCCCCACCCTGCAACTATGGGTAAATAGCAGGAGTTACTCAGGCCCTATATTTATTGGTGCCATTTGCTATTTTTAATTTTCTACATTGCAAAGTAAAAACTTAGTTATAGATTATCTCCCTTTATTTATTTATTTTTTGCAGACGGTCCCAGAACTTGAAAAAGAAATCTTAAATGGACAAAGTTTTCAAGGCCCACCTACAGCCAAAGAAGTTTATGAGATTCTTAAAGAAAAAGATATGTTAGATCGGTAAGTATTTTTTTTTTTTTTTTTTTTAATCAACTAGTACAAAGGGATGCAGAAAGGTTCTCAGCCCAGCCAGAAAACCTTTCATTAAAAACTGAATGTTTAGTCATTAGTCAGATTTTGCCAAGTGGTATTGCTTGAGAAATTTCAACTTACTCATTTAAATTATGAATTTAAAAAAAATGAATAAAATGATTTAAAATAAGTCTTTTCCGCAATGGTGATAATCAAGAAATATGTTGTAGATATCGACTTACACACTTGAAAATTGGGGGCTACGAGCAGTGCTTGTGACTCTTGTTATCAACATTTGCGTTTTTCTGCTTTCATTTATACAGGGTGGGGCAGAGCAACTTGCTTATTTGGAATATCAATTAAAACACAAGTAATGCAGGTATACATGTAATTCTTTGAACTGCAACTAGTTCAACATTTAAATTTTATTTTTTACCAGTTTTAAAGAGGATATCAGTAAGATGGCGTCCATTCTTCTCTATACACTGAGTCAATGTTATGGGGTGACCTTGCTGTTCGTGGGAGGCCAGGTTTCTTTTTCTTTACATCACCCATTTCCCTGAAGTTGTTTACCCATGAAACAATCGACTGCCGGCCAGGAACACGACCACGGGGGGCAATATTGAAATGTCTACGGAATGCACGTTGCGTTGTGACGATTGAGCGACCACTTGAAAAAAAATGCCTCAACAGCGAAAACGCGTTCCAACTTCGTCCACTCCATGATGCTCACTGGGGTTCCTGAAAAATAAACAAAAAATAAATAACGCACGTTAAAAACAAAACTTTAAGCCCCACCCTCTCAAATAAGTCCATCCCTACCATCCTTGAGGCAACCATCGCTTTAGGGCGCCAAATTTAAATAAACAAGTTGCTCTGCCCCACCCTGTATATATTACAAATTAAACTAATCACAAGTGACTATTAACAGATGAAAAATTTTTGTGAATTTGGACATCATTTTGGGATCGGGCTCGTTCAAATCTGTGAATTTGTTTTGCTCATGCAAATTCTTGAAAAAATATAAAATTAAATATTTTTTATCCATAATATTGAAGGAAAAATCTCAAGTTCATGTTAAAAATTGTCGCAAAACATTATTGATTTATTTAAGATGGAATCATCTATTATGACATGTCTCTAATTTATATTTAGATACATTGGATTTATTTTCAATTTTTCTAGTTGAATTGTTCACCTATATTGCATATCATCCATTATTGTACATAATCAGGTTAGAATAAAATTTGTATTTTATATGAATACTACCTTATGAAAATTGAGATGTAGTAGACTGCAGAGTGTGTATGAAATATTTTGGTGTGTGCACGAGACCCTTGTACTAACCATATATATGTGTGTGTGTGTGTGGTTTAAAAATTCTCAATCCAATCAAGAACCTTTTCTTAAAATGTCTGATTTTTTTTATCCAAAAAAAAAAAAAAAAAAGAAAGAAAAAACAGGTTTTATCCAAAATGTTAAAATTCAACTTTTTAAGAAAAATCCCAAGTTGATGTTAAAAACTGCTGCCAAACATTGTTGATTCATTTAAGATGGAATGATCTATTATGACATGTCCCTAATTGGTATTTAGATACATTGGATTTATTTTCAATTTTTCCAGTTGAATTATTCAGCTACATTAGATATGGTCCATTATTGTACATAATTAGCTTGCAATAAATTGAGTATTTTATATGAATACTCTTTTATGAAAACTGAGGTGTAATAGAATGGCAGGACCCGTATAATGCACATAGATACCTACATATTTATACTTAACACATACAGTTACATACACACAAGCACATATATACACCTGTCTATATTTCTGAAATGAGGTACTTCACAATTCAACTTTTTAATAAGAAAAATCTCAAGCTGATGTTAAAAATCTGAAAAACATTGTTGATTTATTTATTTAAGATGGAATTATCTATTATGACAGGTCTCTAATCTGTATTTAGATACATTGTATTTATTTTCAATTTTTCTAGTTGAATTGTTCACCTATATTGCATATGATCCATTATGGTACATAATTAGGTTAAAATAAAATTTCTATTTTATATGAATACTACCTTATGAAAATTGAGTTGTAACAGTGTAGGATGAGGTATCATTTTATAGATTTGTGGGTAGAGGCATGAGATCCCACCCCTGTGAATACTTATAGGTCATGTGATTGTGGCATGGATGAGTGGTAATTAACCTTTTTTAAAAATATTTTTTCTTTAAGGCTCAATGACATATTTCATGAAGATATTAGGTTAGAGAATTTTTAAAATTTAGCCATATGGATATCCTATGTAAGAATTTCCTGTATTTTCTAGAAATTTACAGTTGCTTAAAAACTTTAAAAACGTTTTGTTAAGGATTCTATCTTTAAAATTAAACCTGAAAGAAAGAAATCAGTCTTGAGAGTCAATTCTGTTCAAGAAACATTGGCCATTATCCACGATTTAATCTGATCTTCATTTTTATAATCCGTAATAGATTCATAATATTTCTCTCTTTTCTCTTGAAAGAAATGATTTAATTAGTCACAAATAAATAGTAATTAACAATGCTTCATCTAAGAAATTTGAATCCTATTAATACTACTAGTAATAAAGCATATTTAAGTAAGCAGGGCAGATGAGAAATAAAGAATAAGCCTTGAATAAAAAGCAAGAGAAATAAGATGAAAGAAATACTAGTCCAAAATGAATAATAATTGACAATACTTCATCTAAGAAATTTGAATCCTATTAATACTACTAGTAATAAAGCATATTTAAGTAAACAGGGCAGATGAGAAATAAAGAATAAGCCTTGAATAAAAAGCAAGAGAAATAAGATGAAAGAAATACTAGTCCAAAATGAATAATAATTGACAATGCTTCATCTAAGAAATTTGAATCCTATTAATACTACTAGTAATAAAGCATATTTAAGTAAGCAGGTCAGATGAGAAATAAAGAATAAGCCTTGAATAAAAAGCAAGAGAAATAAAATGAAAGAAATACTAGTCCAAAATGAATAATAATTGACAATGCTTCATCTCAGAAATTTGAATCCTATTAATACTACTAGTAATAAAGCATATTTAAGTAAGCAGAGCTAGTGCTGTATTTACATATGGGCTACAGCTCAAGGATCTCAATACTAGAGGGGCAACCAAGTGGCCTCTAGTTTTTGACTTCTGATACAATTAAAAAAAATAAATATAAGAAAAGAGGATATTTCTTTATTTTCAGATTTAATGGGATCTCTGAACTAATTTGAAACAATTTAGATTATTTGTCCCCCTCTAGTTGGAGTGGTCATTTTAAATTGGATTTAGATTTTGAAGCTTCTTTTTTTTAGTTTTTTATGTTTTAGACTGGTCATCCTAAGAAACAAAATATAAAAGTTTTACTCACATATCCAAGCTTACAGCACCTGTTTTTTCCAAGCAGTTGCTCATCTAGCAGGCATGATGTTGCTTAACTTTGGTGATCATATTGGAACTGATGTTTCAGTAGGATGTGACCATAAGCTTTAACACCTGCACATCCAACCTTACAGCACCTGGTTTTCCCAAGCGGTCACCCATCTAGATACTGACCAGACTCGACATTGCTTAACTTCAGTGATCGTATGGAAATTGGTGTTTCAGTGTGGTGCCATGTGTGTGTGTAAGCCATGTTTGCACCTAGTCAGGATCAAATTTGAGACATGAAATGATTGAGCTTTTACTTTAGGAAATAGAGTTTTGAACATTTGAACAGGATTGTCAGTTTTCTTAACCTGGTATCCATGGACACTTAGGGGTTCCCACAATGCATTTCAGGAGGGCCGTGAAGAGCTGATAAAAATTAAGATTATATTCGCTATACAGTCCTTGTCACAATTAACAGTTTCCCATTGAAAGTACATGTTAAAAGCTTGATTATATCATTATTTTCTTTTCAAGTTACATCCGTTACCTATTTTGTTGTTACTGAAGTGTTCAAGTCATATGTTTTTTGTTATTTCCTATATAATATAATAGCACGATCTCCCAAACTATTTTACAATTTCAAGGAAAACTTTACCAACATCCATAATTGACACAAGTCCAATAAGCACCAGTGAAGACAGAAATATAGAAATTATGGAAGTTCTTGCTAGCAATGTTTTGTCTACTGTTAACACTTTTAGTGCAGATGAAGATCAAAGTGAGTCCTGGGTATGACGATAAACTACATCTGGCAGCAAGACCTCCGATTGGGAGATTGAAAGTTTCAAGGAGCGGGGAACCACCTCTTAACTGCTGTTGTTTCCATGCCCGTCCTGACCCAGGGTGGTAGCACCTGTTAGGGTCCCAGCTATGGGCAAATAGAGAGTTGCCAAGCAAAGACAAAATACTAAAATACAAAAATACAAATCCATAATTACAATACCACATCCCAAAAATATAGACAGATGTTCTCATTTCTCATCTCATTAATAAATTTTTCAGTAAATTAGTTTCAAGTTAACTGTTATAGCTCCTTCGAATAGGAATATGAGTTTTCTTTCAAACTTTTTTTTGGTAGTGTATAAGTTAAAGGCTTGATTATATCATTATTTTCTCTTCAAGTTGCATCTGTTACCTATTTTGGGATTGCTGAAATCTTCAAGTGGTGTAGTTTTTGGTATTTCCTATATAATATAATAGAACTGTGGGAGTACTTGTTAATATTCTGTCTACTGTTAACATTTTTAGTGCAAATGATGATCACAGTGAATCCTGGGTATGATGATAAACTACATCTGGCAGCAAGCCCTCCGATTGGGAGATTGAAGGTTTCGAGGAGTGTAGGAATCTTTGTTGTTCCCAGGGGTGGTAGCACATGTTAGAGTCTCAGCTATGAGCAAATAGTGACCCCCCCCAACAAACAAATCAAAACACTATGAAAGCATAGAAATACATTTTATAGTAAAAATACCAGTAATACATTTTCATATAAAAAGGACCAACAATATATATTTATAGTAAAATG